AAAGTGATAAAATACTTTTTCCCACATCTAGTTTGAATTGATTTAAAATCACAAATGTCACTATGAATTAATTCAAGTGGTTCCGTACTTCTTTCAATTGTATAAAAAGGAGATTTGGATAATTTTGCCTCAACACAGATTTCACATTTATGATTTAAATTAATGTCAAATTTAGGTAAACATTCCATATTAATTAATCTACGCAAAGATCCATAATTAACATGTCCTGGTCTACTATGTCATAAATTTGAAGACTCAAGCAAGTAAGAAAAAGATGTATTTTTATTAATAACAGAGGGTACAACGGTTATTACATTCATCTTGAAAAGGCCATCAGACATGCAACATTTTCCTACATATATCTCATTCTTAGTAAGTACAAACTTGTTACTTTCAAAAACTAGCCTAAATCTATTTTTACTCAACAAAAATCCGGAAACAAGATTCTTGCGAATGTCCGGTACATGAAGCACATTGTTGAGAGTGAGTTCCTTTCCATATGTCATCTTCAAAATAATCTTTCCTTGTCCTTCAACTTTAGAAGTCGAAGAGTTGTCCATAAAAAGTTGTTCACCATTGTCCATTACTGAATAAGATGTGAACATCTTTTTGTCAGCACAGATGTGGCAAGTAACACCATTGTCCACCCACTATTCTTTAGGATTTCCGACAAGGTTTGCCTCAGAAACAACTGTAGAAAGATTTATGTCATCTACACAATTGGAAACTTTGTCCACTTCAATCTTATTGGCTTGAGCAGGTTTCTTGCTTGATCTTTCTTTGCCTTTGCATTTGCTACGGCAATCTTTGGCCCGATATCCCTCTTTGTCACAGATGTACCATTTGCCATTAAACGTGTACTTCTTATTTTCCCCTTCTTTAGAGTCTTGTGAGGAACTTTCTCTAGAAAACTTCTGTTTCATTACTTTTGGAGCATATTCCACCACATTTGCCTTGGTCTCTATTAGATGATTACCAGCCCACTTCTTTGATTTACGGTTGTCCTCCTCAATCCTCAAATGCACAATCAATTCCTCTAAAGACATTTTTTTGCGCTTATGTTTGAGGTTTTCTTTGAATTCCTTCCTGCCTTGTGGTAATTTTTCAATTAAGGCAACAACTTAAAATGATTCACTGAGAGACATGCCTTCTGCATGAATGTCATGCATAATGAGTTGGAGATCTTGAACTTGGCTGATCACAATTTTAGAATCAATCATCACAAAATTCAGGAATTTGCCAACCACAAATTTCTTTGAGCCAGCATATTCTGTTTTGTACTTTTTCTCTAAAGACTCCCAAAGTTCCTTTGTCGTTTTGATAGGACTGTAGACGTTGTATAATGTGTTGTCAAGTTCGTTTAAGATGTCGTTCCGGCAAAGGAAATCAACATGTTTCCAAGCATCGACTGCAACAACCACTTGTCGGTCAGTTTCAGTTTCATTTTCTTTCAGAGTTGGAGCATCCTCACGGAGAAAGCGTACCAGGTTGAGAGTAATAAAATAGAATAGCATTTTTTGCTGCCATCTTTTAAAATCAGTTCCTGAGAACTTCTTTGGTGTTTCACCGTGATTAACTGACACAGTCACAACAGGAGAAGGGGTTGGCACAATTGCAGCCACCATACCAGTACTTGTTTGAGCATTAGTTTGACCAGTTTCAGTAGCTATTAATTCTAAATTATAAAACAAAATTAGAATTAGAATTTTATACTACACAGAAAATTTAAACCAAAACCATAGAATTAAATTCTGTAAAAATAAAAGAAGCAAGAATTGTAACTTTTATTTTCAATTAATTTGAAAATAAAATAAAATTTTATTTAAACAAATTAATTCCACATAGAAAATTAAATTTCTGTAACACTTTAATAACTAAAATACTGAAACAAAATTTTAATTAATGAACACTCAGAAATTATTTCTGAAAATCAAAAATTAATTTCTGACAAACTTCACAAATAAATATTCTAAATTATTAATGACACCAGTATATTACTATTAGTTGTCAAAAAAATAAACAGTATATTACTACTATTTGTTTTTCCAACCAGAATATTTCTTTGTAAAACCACAGAAAATAATTCCTGTAAGAAGAAGAAAAGAAGAAAATGAAACAAACGAAAAATTTTATATAAACATAATAATTCGAATATATCTTAAGATTGTTGGAATAATCTTTTGTGTAAAATAAATAATTTGAAACTAAAACAAACAAATAAAAATAAATTACTTACATAATTTATTTTACCGAAATGTAAAAGTACAAAAAGATCAAGTCGAGTGTGTGACACGTTGTCCTTAAGACAAATTCGCCCCGCTTTGGTGCTTACGGACTACTGACGTCTATCTCTCAGGATACAATAATCTTCACAAATTATAGTAGCACTCCAAACAATTTGTACGGCAAACAAAAATCTGTGTTCTTTACTCTCTGAATTTTTTCCTAAAATAATATGTAGAATATTTATGCAAAAGAACACGCAATCTGGACAACAATAAAATGAATTTTTTGGATGTAGAATTCTGTAGGAGTAATTCTGAATTTATAGGCACACTTGTGACTGTTAGACAGATCTGAACAGGTACATTTTTGAAGTGAACAAATGTGGTTTCAAATAAACAGGTGCAATTCAAACTCAGATCTGTTGAAACCCAGTTTGAATCTGTTTAAATCTGCCTGGGCAAATTTAAATCTGTTTGGGAATAACATAATCTATCCAGTGCAAAACAGTTTCAAAAATAGTTTGGATTGGTTGAACCTGCTGGAAATTGGACTGGAGAAGGGATTTGTTTGGATAGAAAAAATTGGCGCAAAATTTAAATTAATTTTTTCGCAAGAATTTGAAAAAATTCAAACAAATTTTGTCCAAAAAATTAATATTAGAACCGACCCGACCCACACATGTGCCCGGCATGGCTTGGCCGGTTGGCGGCGAAGGCGTGAGCACGTGTGTGGTGGTTTGGGCCAAGGTTCACATTGTCTATGACTCCTCTCTTCTACAAACTTGGAGTGCCCCCCGGGGCCCAACCCAAGTGTTGCCACCTAGAATTTATATACACACATAAGTTCTCTTAAGTTTCCAATGTGGGATAACCATTTCAAGGAAACCCACATTTTACTTCTTCAATTTCCTATTCCACGAACCCGAAAACGACGTCAACTTCTCATTTACTCATAAATTGTTTTGACAAACCATCATCACCGTGTGACTTGCCATGCGGCAAGGAACACGTCACCTCTTTGGACCCACCCCAAAAGACGTGTGGGACCCACTCAATTTTGGGCTCAAAGTTGGCCCAAAATAAGCCTATAAAAAACCAAAATTCCAACAAAAATATCACTGCCACTAGCTTTAAGTCGTGCGTATGATAGTTTCTCTCGTGTGTTTTCAACTGCCAGTGAGCCATAGGCTACCACATTCCCTCCCTACATCAATACACAACCCAAACCTTTCCGAGACACATCACAATAAACTAAATAACCTAAACCCATCTCTAGAATGATCAAAATTGTAGTAGTGGTGAGTCTAACTTTGAACTCTTGGAATGACTTTTCGCAAGCCTCACTCCACAAAAATTTAACCCATTTCCTTGTCAATTTAGTTAATAGTGAAGCCAATCTAAAGAAAATCTTGGTAATACCCGACTAAGCCTAAGAAACTCCGGATCTCAAAGGCGTTCTTAGGTTATTCCCAATCTTGCAGTGCGTCTATTTTAAATGAATCTATGGTCACCACTTTCCCGGACACTACATGGCCTAAGAACTTAACTTCGTTATGCCAAAAATCATACTTCCCGAACTTAGCATATAACCGGTGTGCTCTAAGCAATTCATGTACAACCCGCAAGTGTTCTCCATGTTCCTCCTCAAAGGGTGACTAGACTAAGATTTCGTTGACGAAGACAATCATGAATCAATCTAAGAACTCATGAAAGACTCGATTTATCAAGTCCATAAACAAAGGCGGTGCATTGGTCAGACTAGGGCTGAGCAAGGAATCCGTAAAATCCATAATCCGATCCAGTCCAGTCCAATCCGATAGGTTTGGATTGGTTTTTTAAATTCGCGGTTTGGTTCCGGATTGAAGAATTAAAAATCCATAGTACACGGATTGGTTCTGAATTGAACCCCACGGTTCTGGATTGGAACCGATCCGGACTATATACAAATAGTATATATTTTTATTATACATCCTCCCCCATAGTATCTTCTCTTATTTTATATAAAATCTAAACTCAAACCTAAAACTGTATAATATTTTCTTTTATTACTTTTGTTTGTTAGTTTTTAGTTTTAATTTGTAATGGTTTAAATACTTATGGTGAAACCAGTTTTCTTATGGTTATTTAAATTCTAGAACAATATGTCACTATTATAGAAATAGATGTTGATATTGTGAAACTAATATAGCGCTATGTTTATATTTTTATGAAATTAAAGTGTTATATATATATATATATATTTTTGTTATTTAATTATGTAAATCCGTGGTCCTAAACCAATCCAATCCGTATTTAAATGGATTGGTTTGGATTGGTTCCATGATTGAAACGGATTGGATTGGTTCCAATTTTTCAGGAACCGTAGATAACGGATTGGTCCTGGTTTTACCCTAATCCGGTCAAATCCGGACCATGCTCACCCCTAGGTCAGACCAAAAGGCATCACTAAGAACTCATAATGGAAAAAGGCATCACTAAGAACTTGTAATGGACATACAGCGTGCGGAATGTTGTTTGCTAAATATCTTCCTCATTTACCCTCAACTGGTGATACCCCGATCTCAAATCAATATTTGAAAAACAAGGTGACCCCTTTAATTTGGTCAAACATATCATCTATTCACGGTAATGGATACTAGTTCTTAACAGTTACTCGGTTTAACTTTCGATAATCGTTGCACAGTCGCAATATGCCATCTTTTTTCTTTACAAAGAGAGCTAGTGCTCTCCAACGTGATGTACTAGGGAAAATAAAGCCTTTATCTAGCTGCACCTTCAACTCACACAACTTGGTTGGTGCAACTTATATGGTGCCATGAAAATCGGAGTCATGCCTGGCACTAAGTCAATAAAGAATTCAATCTCTCCGTGTGGTAGTAACTTTGTAAGATCTTCTAAAAAGACATCTGGACACTCTTGAACTACTCTCGGAAATTCACTCTGAACTGTACTACTACTCTCATCAGCTACCGAGATGGCAAAAAGAAAACTCAACTCTTCTTGACCCTTAAGGTCATACAACGGAGGAATAGAACTATTACCCCGGTCACACATAAAGTAAAAGCACCATTCTGATGGTGTGCTCACTGATACCCTTTTACGAAGGCAATTTATCGAAGCCCAGTAATAAGTTAACCAATCTATATCTAGAATTATGTCAAAAGCATGTATATCAAGAACAATGAAATCGAAAAAGAGCCGACTATCTGTGACCTCAATCTCAGAAAAGCAACATACTTGACCCAATACCACTTTACCCCCAATAGGTGTCTTGATGTTGGCCGAAAGGTACCACATTGAGGCCACTTAAGTTACAGTTTTAGTCGTTCAATGTTATTTATTTGGTGGAGATGATGTGTTTCGTGCACTTGTACAGATTTGGTAGGAAATAGAAAATTCAATCAGAAAGGGGTACGAAAGCAGATTCTCCAAGCAGGAAGTGACGAATCCAAGTCAGCCAGACCACCACACGTACAGCCAAGCTTCACCGCACGTGCGGCCCACCACCGCACGAGCGGCCCACAAGACCACACGAGCAGCCCACCTAGGGACGCGTGCACAGACTTTTTGGTCTATTTTGCTCCGAATAAAAGAGAGAAAATCAGTCAAACCGGGGGTTCGAAAAAAATCAATACAGAATAGAGGGAGACTAGGGTTTTAGAGAGAGGATATTCTACCAAAGCTTGAAGGACACTTCCATGGAGGTTTCTTCCTCATCTTCTTCCTCTTTCCACTCCTCCATAAGTGGCTAGTCGTCTTTTCTAGGGTTTTGATGAAACCCTAGCCATGTAATTATTTAGTTTTCTTTTTGATTTTTAATTATGTAAAGGTTTGAACATTTGTATGATGATTTAAAAGTTTCGTATAGATATTTTTCATTATCCTTTCAAATATTTGACTTTCTGTGATTGTTGAATGTTATCCATACATGAGGTTTTTATTCCTTCACATTCAAGGTATGAGACGGACCATGCTACGAGGAAGGAGTCGTATCACTACCTTAGTTTAGAGTAAACGATTCGTATTACTTGAGATGGTTCGTGCTCGTACATTGAATATGATGATCTTCTTGTTAAATGCTTTGAGCTTGTAGTTGCGAAGCATTAATCCGTTCAAATCATAGCATAATTGATTTCAATTGGAAACCCTAATTATGTGGTTAGTGGTGAATTCTCTACCCTAGGATTTTTCCCCAATTCAGTAAATCCAACGAGGGACGGAGGCGCAGACGGTGGGGAGGCGCTGACGGAGGACGGCAAGGTTGATGGTAAGGTGAGGTGATTGGCGCGACTGAGCTTTGATCGAATTCGACAGAGGTGTGAAAGAGGCGCACAGGAATTCATTGTGTGTTTGAATTAGTAAAGTTATCCCTACCAAACTGATGGTCGGGTAATGATTTTTGATACCAAAACGACGTCGTTTTGGTATCAGCGACCAAATTTTTTTAGTCGCTAAAATAGCATACACAGCTCCCTTTTAAATGTCATGCTCCTGCTTATATTTTTGGCGACAAATACTGCAATTTGGTCGCAAAAAATTACTTATTTGCGACCAAATATTTTGGTCGGTAATAGTCTGAATTTTTAGCTACGAAATTTACTTTTGGTCGGCAAATGGAATTTTTCTGCGACCAAAATTTTTTTGGTCGGCAAAAGTGGTCGGCAAATATGTAAATTCTTGTAGTGTTTGGACCTCAAAACATGGTTTTTGTCACTGAAAAATCTCTGAGTTTTAATGGTTAAAAAGCCAAAAGAGTTGGTTTGAAAGGTAATGAAAGATGGCACAAAAAGCTTCACAAGCTAAAGAGGAAAGACCCCCTAACTCACAAAGGCCCAAGCCACCACTTTTAGGACTGAAAAACAAAACTTTTTACATGCCAAAACCAGCCTTGAAATGGTGGAAAAAGATGGCAAAGCAAGTATGAAATACAAGCTTAAAGAGAGAGAGTTATACCTCTTGAAACACAACCCAATTTTAGGCAACAAAACCAAGCACCTTCAAGAGCTCCAAGGAGGCTCCAAGAGAGCTTCAAGCAACCTCAGCCCAAAGATGAACCACTCATGGTAAGGGTTGATAGGTTAAAGATTGATGTACGCAAGCTTCTAAGCACAAAAGCTTTAAAGAGAGAGAAATCTAGAGAGAGGATTGTAGAGAGAGAGGCTCCCAAACTTCTTCCTAAATTGTTCAAACCTTGAAAACCATAGAGAAGGCTCTCTCTATATAGAAGAATGCAAGCCTTGGTCGAAAATATCCCAAAATGGACAGCTGGAACAGCTAGAGTACAAATATCTGTAGAAAACTGCCTTTTTGCATCAATGGCCGGCACTGCTTCCTTAATGGCCGGCACATGATCATTGTTGGCCGAAAATGGTCACACTTGGCCAGCATAGGCCATTCATGGCTGGCACATGGCCAGAAAATCCCATTATGACCAGCAACCTCCACCTCTGGTTGGCTAGAAGAATCTGTTCTTTGGGCCCAACTTCAAATGGGAATATCTCCTCATCTGAACTCCTTTGCAGGTCATTCTTGTACCTAAATTGAAGCCCTGGAAGTATTCTTTCCAATGGTGGAAGCTGCACATTAAAATTCCAAGTGCTCAAGGAGATATACCTATTTTAGTGAAGACTGCTCAGTTTCAATCCTATCCAGATTCATGCCTAACTTCAACCAACCATAGGTTTCTTCCCTCTCCTCTAATTTTCTCCAACTCCAAACCTCTAAACAAGATGTTTTGGAAGATTTTTCAAAAAGTTCACCTCTCTTTCATGCATTTCCACTTTGTCCTTGCTCGGTTTATCGAAAAACGCAACATTTAACAAAATGCGAGCCTCGGAGCATCGTAGAATCATTTTCAAAAATATTTTGAAAGGGAGGGTTTTAAGGTCTAAAATCATTCTGGTCAAAATCATTTTGGTCCAAAATTGGGGTGCAAGGTTGGGATTTGACTCTCTCTCCTTGCCGAAGAAATCGATCATTTGCACTGCACAACTTTCATCACCAAGTAAACAATCAGTAGCACCTAACTCTTAAGGGCGGTCAAAAATAGGGTGCCTACAGGCGGCTGACCTCTCCCCTGACTTCTTCAATTTTACATAATGTAGGGGAGATGAGGAGCCTTTCTGCAACAAATGCAGAATTCAAGTTCTCCAAACCTGAAGAAGTAATGCAAGGAAAACTGATGGTGTAAATCATCATCTTAAGTATAGAGGTTACACACGATATAGACATGTATGTATATCTGGAGCCACTACGTAGGCTTAGCCCCAAAAGATTAGATTGGTAGACCATCAATTCAGCCCAACCCAAACATAACCCATTCTTGCAAGCCTTAAGAGAATAATTGACATTTTGGTAGTGACTTTTTAGTTTTTTATCAAACGTATATACTTCCCAAACTTGGCCTCTATTAAAAAGAAGAAGAAGAAAAATATCAAACAAAATCTAAAATTATAATACTAAGTAAAAGTTAAAATACAGTAAAATATCAAATTAAATGGCTGTTGGACAACTTGGCTTCTACGCTAAAAAAACCAAAAAACTAAAACAAAGTCAAAGTGTTACTAAAAAATAAAATAAAAAAATAATACTAAAAAATAAAGTGAAACACCAATTATTTATGTTTTTCCATACAACTAAAAAGTCATTCCCAAACACACCCCTTGTACAAAATTCAAAAATTAAAAAATTACTAAAAAAGTCAAATTTCAAACAAGCTCTAAATATTTTTCCAGCATTTTTAGGAATAAAATTACTAATTAAGTTTACATATAACTTGTAAGGACATTTAATTTAAATTGTAAAATTAAATTAGTTGTTTTAGACATTTATCTTTAAACCTTCATATACAATAAAAGGATCAGTAGATCAAATGAATGATAAAATTGAAGAAGTCTGCATTTAAATCATGAGTTTGGATAAAAAAAAAAAAAAAAAAATTAGAAGAAAAGGAAAAAGGTCACCTGCATTTCACATTCCAAACACAACCGAAGTAGCTACAGTGTAATGAAATTATGTGCCAATTATGGAAATTGCAAAAAAGAGTTGGTTATCAGAGTTCTCATTCTCATCGTCTTTATGATATCAGCCATGTGATTCCATGTTAGTTTTAAATGCATATGGCTCATTATTATTCACACTCTACTCACAACTTGCCATGTTAGTTTATAGCCTTTTTTTTTTTTATTTTTATCTGTCTGTCTTCCTTTTTTTTATTTTTTTATTTATCCTATTTTCATTTAAATTTGGATAAAAATAATCTTTGCCTTTGTTATAAAATTGAGACCAAATCAGTTTTGAGTGCATTTAAACATAAACTGAATATATTAAGAATCAAAATGAGACAACATGTATTTTTTCTTTTTTCTAAATCTTTATTTTTACAGTGGACAGATCACACACTTTTTGAGAAGCTAAAAAGCAAATCAACAAGGGCTATCTTAAATTAAATTATTTGTGACTTAATCAAAGTAATGCCACAATTTACAAGAAAAAAAATCTGCTTTGTAAAGAAGACTATATCAGGGGCACAATTAAAGCAAATTATTGGTTAGGCCCAAACAAATATGTGTTTTTTTTGTTTGTAGTGGTGGTGATCCAAAGAAATAGTGCATGGTCTAACCCATTATTTTTGTGTTCGAGTTTTATGAGGCAATGTGTTAAATGTCAATCTCAAATTGAGATGGTCAACTTGTGAGAAGTCAAACCCATAAATAAAATGATGGATTATCGCTCTAAGAGAATTGAATAATCACTTAATTGGAGCATGCTACTTGGATTAACCACATGCATAAGCTACAGTGATAGAGTTAGAATTTTGGCTGCAAAAGGCATTACTGATACGTGTTGATTTGAGATGCAAGACTTGGTTTAATTTAGTTGGTAAAAAATTTAATTATCAATTTTTTAAAACTATTTTATACATATAACTACAATAAATAAATAAAAACCATTGTAACATTCAAATTTATAAAAATCTCAAAAATAAGAAATGAAAATAAAATTAATATATATATATATAATACACATAATAAATGAAAATGCTTTCCTATATTTATTTGTGAAACATTAGGGAGTCAATTTATGCCCTTGCTCTAATCAATGTGTAAAATTGATTGGAAAAAGAACGAAAAAGGGTTTATATGTAATTTTTCGGAGGAGAAATTGAAAAACGTTTTCAAAACATTAAACTAAAAGGTAATTTTTAAAATTTTGAGGAGTAAGTCTAGTGGCTCCACCGTTGAGGAGGTGAAGCATACTTACAATAATAACATACAGACATGGAAAAAATAAACAGAAAAAGAAAAATATGTAGTGAATTATGTGAAAGAGTACAAACCCTACTCTTCGATGGTGGAAATTGAATCAGACTCAGAAATGGCTATCAACCAAATCCAGAATGGAGCAAGGCATAACTCTCTCTACAAAGCACTGATTGAAAATGCTAAATTCCTACTGTCTAGGTGCAGGAGCACTCTTAAGCACACCCTGAGGGAGGGGAATAAATGTGCTGATAAACTTGCAAATCTAGGGGTAGATCAAGATGAACATGTAATCATAGAAGACCCCCTGTGAGTGTTAGAGCTCTAATCATAGCTGATATGACTGGAGCTAGCTATGAGAGAGATTAGCTCTCTAGTTTATTTCTTTTGATGTAAACTCGAACTCTTGTGTTTGCTTTCAAGTTCCCATGAATCTAAAAAAAATAATAAATAAATAAATAAATAAAACTAAAAATAACAAGATGGTGGACCTACAGTTAATGAAACTTTTCCACTCACATTAGTGAAGTTATATTTTTTTTTTGTAGTTGAATTGTATCTGTAAAATTATTAGTATTATTATTATTGAGCTCACCCAAACACTTGTAAACTAAATACGATTGCAGAGAATATAATGATTTAGTCTTGACTTACTTATAAACTGAACAAATCCAAACTATACTCACCCCTATATATATATAAATCGAGTGAAAATCTTCAAATCATAGTTAAATGTCTCAGACAAAATATTAATATCTGGATTTTGTCCCCAAAGATCCAACAAAATGATTGTGTTGAATATAGAAATTAGATTATATAGAATCTTTTTATTTTTAGTATTATGTATATAATTTGTGATTGTGTCAATCACTGATTTAGTATTATTTTCTTATTTATATTGTTTCTTAAATTGTATCATGAATCTATTATATATATATAATCTCTTATATATACTATCCGCGTGTTGAGTTTAGGCAGGCCAAGGCCCAGGGTACACTGATAACAACAACAGCCCTCATTTTCACATTTAATGTAAATTGCATGCATATGCCAGTTCATGCACCAATTTTGGTCTGTTCAAATCTCACAACACTTTTTTGTTTTCTAAATTCTTTGGATAAAAAACACCTATTGCTATAGCATTCAAATGAAAACTGTGTTTAGATCATAGATTTGAGAAAAAATCTATGAAGGGAAAGGTTTTTTTTTTACTTTTCTTTTCTCTTCTCAAATCATTCCTCAAACGTATGATCTAAACATTGCCTGAGAGTCTTCATTTGGTATCCTTTTTGTCTCTTAACCAAAGTTTTGAACTGGAAAAATGTTGAGAAAGCTTTTATTTTTCATTCAAAAATTTCAGCCACTGCGTCAACAATAATAGTACAATCACCGCAGGAAATTAGGATTTTAGCGGCGTTTTTTAATAGGTACTAAAAATGTCGCTAATTCTTTTGTGACGTTTAATACTAAACGTCGACAACGTGGCTGTCGCTATAATTTTATGGCGTTTGAAAACGTCGCTGTATCAAAATAGGCGGCGTTTTAAAAACGCCGCCAAATATCCTACCCTAACGGTACTGTGACGGCACTATGATTTTAGCGACGTTTTTAAAACGCCGTCATAGGTTTTTTTAATTTTAAAAATTCAAACCTTTATAGTAGCGTTTTAAAAACGCCGTCTTATATTCTTTTTTTTTTTTTTTTTTGAAATTGTGCTAATTTTTGTGATTGAACTAAAAGAACACCTGTAATAAAACTAAATAGCACTGATATGAAATAATAACTCCCATTCAAATAACAAATACAACATCAATTCACTTTCTCATTTAATTTAATATCCAATCACTATTATCCACAAAACAACATATCTAAAAATTGAATTCACAATTCTCAATCAAAAAATTACTACCTTACATACAAAGTCACAAAATAACATTACCCTCTTCTATCTCTCACCACTCCCACATTTAACACAAAAAATAAGAAGAAAGTGAACCAAAACACCCAACCCCCCAGTCTGATCAGAGGAAAAAAAGAAAAAAGAAGAGAAATAAAAATCCAAAGGATTTTAACACAAAAAATAAGGAGAAAGGGAACCAAAACACCCAACCCCCATCCATCCTTCACCGTCATTCTGAATCTCTCTCCATGTTGCTTCCCATTGCCTTCAATCCTCTCGGTCTCTGCCAATCGCAAAACATAATAATAATAAAAGCAAAGCCAAATAAAAGATGTGCAGTGAATAGATATGAGGATTGGCAATAGATAAATTTTGAGTTCAATAAACATAATAAAGTAACAAAATTTTGTAAAATGTGTATATAAAAGGAAAAACCTGGATATTGTTGATTATGACGCTCTTTTGATGAGCAAGAACCAGATGCATTTGATGACCCAAGACCTGCTTTTGACATGGTTTTCTGAGAAGCAAAAGCAACATGTACAATATGAATATAAAGCTTGAAGTACAGGATAAAACATGTAAACAATCGCTAACTATCTATTTAGATAAAAAATAGTAATCAACACTACAAGAAAAGTTGGCTATGACGACGTTTGAATCAAAGACGTTTTATGAAACGCTGTGGTATATCTCAATAGCCAACACGTTTTTCAAGCCATGATGCCCGTTGATGGTCTGAATGAGCCAGGTCTGTTTTACTTCACAGACACTTAACCCCATTCCAATTACCAAAGTAAAACAATCTCTCATGAGCTGCTCTTCTCTCTCGCGATTAATGTCGATCTCTCTCACTATAGCTGTTCTTCATTGGATACTCGAACTCGATCTTTTTCACTCTAGCTGTTCTTCATCGAACTCTCTCTCTCTCTCTCTCTCTCTCAAATCGAACAAGAAAGTCGATCCTCTTCATCTGATCTGATCTGATCTGATCTCTCAAGTTGATCGAAATCCATACTCGATCTGATCTGATCTGATCTCTCTTGCATATTGTAGATCCGAAATCGAACAAGAAAGTTGATCTAATCTGATCAAAATCCTAACTCGATCTGATCTGATCTCTCTCGTATTTTGTTAAATCTACTGATTAATAAGGTTTCAAGCAAGTCGTTTTATTTTGTTTTTCATTAACAAGTGTTAATAGGTGTTTGATTTCTTTGTAGGTGGCGATGAAGTGTAGAGATCGGTTACATGAACTTGTAAAGGAAGAGATAGAGAAGAAGGATTCGAGTACGGAGGAGTGGAAGATCGCGATGGAGAGTAGCTTCAATCGCATGGACAATGAGGTGATATTGTGTGAACTTGACCAATTTCTTGGTTACCAAACACACCAGTGCTCTGACTCTCCAGGTCTGTCCCTTCGTTCTAACACAGCTTCTTTCCTGTTTTAGTTTGGCATTAGTGATATCTTAAAAGAACTGGGGACTCTTTATTTGTCATTGAAATATAAAGAAGAGGATTTTTTCTACATGATGATCGAGGATATGATTATTAATTAAGGTTTTAACATAAAAATCATTAAGGAAAAACTGTAAGTTTTAACATTGATAATTCCTTGTAATATGTTAGTTCTTCAGTTTGGTCCTACATCTAATTGTTTTCAGAGCATCATTTGTGACATGGTCTTGTGTCATGACATAGAGTTGTGTTTTGCATGGTAAATTCTTTAGAACTGTGAGTACTTTGTTGGAACACTAGCTCCCGTCTTGCCATTTTTCTCCCTGAAGAACATTTTACTAGCATGATGCTTAACTCATAAATCATTCTTTTTGTTGCATGATGCATAACTCAAAATTGCAGGATTGAGGAAAATAAATATATATAAGAACTCATCATCTGTGGGGCACCTCTGTGAGAAAGTATCTAAGCTATACCCAAAACACTAAAAATCGCTGGATGGTTACCAAAAACTGCTCTAATCTGGCTTCTTGTTGAGTATTCAAATCAAGCTTCTTCCTCTATTTTGTCAGGGTATGCCCCCTCCACCCCAGGTTCATGCTTACTCCTGATAGGTTAGTCTTTTGTGATGTCATAATCTTTTCTCTTACGGAAAACATTATTTTGCAAGGTTGAGAAAGAAATAGAAGAGAGAAGAAAGATCTCCTTTCACAAGGTTGGAATATCCGTGGCACCCCCAGTCAGTTTTCAGGACATCGTTGCTTCCCACGGAGACTCTGAAGAGGTTGGTCTTATCCTTTTCCTTTCCTTGAATGAAGAATAGCAGAATGATAGTGTGAGGAAAAACAACTGTGCGTTATTGGTCATAATGTTCAGGATATTGTGCAGGATATTGTGGGGTGTCAGTTGCTTACAGAGGCAGTTAAGAAGGTGCAAATTCAGGTAAATTGGTCATAATGTTCATGCAATTACTCATATTGGCATTTTTTCATTGACAAACTAATTCCCTGCAAGTTTGCATCCTTTTGTTATCTATCCTTTCTCCTTTAGCACTGTAGGTTCTGTGACATAACCGTACACTTTAGATAACTATTGCATTGTCTGGTTTTGAAATATTCTGTCTAAAAAGTTCGAGTACGAATCATTGCTGAAATTTCAAGTGCCCTTTTGTTCTTGCACTCGTTCAAACCTGAAAAGATTGTACACGGCGACCTAAAGCCAGAAAACATCCTTCTTGATTCCAATCTCAACTGCAAGCTATGTGATTTCGGGATTTGTAGACTAATGCCAGGAGAGACCCTCCGTTGCCCAAGTTTCCGGCGGTATACCGAGCCAAAGGGTGCTTTCTCATATACTTGCCAAGGCTCATCAATTGTAATAGGTGCTATGTAGCATTAACTGTTGTGTTGTGATGCTTTTTAGCTTTCTAGAGAACACTACAAGGTTTTTCTTTTTTTCATTCAAGTGGGAGCGTTGTGCTTGTGAGCAGGATTGATTAGCCTCAGTAATGCTCATGAAGAATCTTCAAGTTGGTGTATGCCCTAAGTGAACTACAAACTAAGCTTCAGAAGTGATTGAAGTAGCTAAATTGGAATAGCCTTGTAGGTCCTATTTGGACAGAGAACAGAATTTTATTTCATTCCTGTGGTTTTTCTCGAGCAAGATGATTTATTTAATCTAGTGAATTTTTGTGAAAATCTTTTGCAGAACCGTACCTGACTCGGATTATTGGTGGTTTTGCTTTCAGGAGATAATGCACGATCCTCAGGTGGCAGCCGATGGATTCACCTACGAAGGAGATGCTCTGCGTGGATGGTTGGAAAATGGCCGAGAAACTTCCCCGATGACCAATTTGAGACTGGATCACTTGCATCTCACTCCCAACCATGCACTGAGACTTGCTATTCAAGATTGGCTTTGCAAAGTTTAACATACCATTCGTATACATTCAGTCTATGTCATAATGTATATTTGTAGAGTCTTCTTGTATTTGGAGAAAAAAAAACCCTTTTACCATTGTATTTGGATAACTATTGAAATATTCTGTCTAAAGAGGACTGGGAGAAACAACAGGCTAAAGAGGTAGAGCATTGCATTGGCTTCTGTATGCCAGTTGTATCAAAATCTTGTATTGGTATCACGAACTTTTTTTTATGTATTTTATTTTATTTGTATGTTAATAGGTTAGTAATAAGGTAGCTTACAACGAATGAGCTATGGTCGCTCTATCGATTCGTTGTTGCTATTGCACATATGAAACTGAATTAATGCTTCATTTGTTATTTGAATGGGAGTTATTATTATATCTGTTTGTTTTATTATAGGTATTTGAATGGGAGTTAATATTTTGTATGTTAGTTTTATTATAGTTATTTTTTTATTAATTGAATGAGAAACCAAATTCAATATTTTCTTACAGGTATTCTTTTTAATTTAATCAAATAAAACTAGCACAATCTCAAAAAAAAAAAAAAAAAAAGTTTATTCATATTATTGTTATTTTTCAGCTTTATTACAGGTATGTTTTTTAGTTAAATATAACAGATTCAGAACAATTTTTTTTTTAAAAAAGAGCTATAACGGCGTTTTTTCAAAACGCCACTACAGTGCCAACGGACATTTTTTTAAAATAAAAAAATTTATCACGGCGTTTTAAAAACGTCGCTAAATATTGGATGACGTCATTTTATCATTATTTATCGCATTTAGCGCGTCCTCGACATTTGGTGATAAACGCCGCTAAAAGTCATTTTTCCAGCAGTGAGTTGTCTTCAATTTAATAAACATTCATAGAGTTGGAAAACACTAACTGCAGCAAAACATCAACAAAGTTATGCAAATAGAGACACATTTGAGAGTAACAACTAACATTTGCACCAGCTCTGGCCGAGGCACTTAGGGACAGGGTGTTTGGTGTGGATGATTCTGAGAGACAATTGCATATAATTTACCTTGCCAATGACATTCTATTTGACAGGTACACTTCCAGTGCTATGCCAAATCTTAGTTCAACATAAATTTGAGTGCTGTTGAAATGAATTTGATTTTGGCTGCTTTTCTGTGTGTGAATACCTATTGCTTTATTTTCTTCTTCTTTATTACATCTATTGCAGGATTCTTATTCACTGATATTTTCTGCCTCTTAAATGCTTCCACTGCTTCATATCTCGTGGTGTCCACTGGCTACTCGAGTACTTTATTACATCTAATGCAGGATTCTTATTCATCAATGAAGGTTCAATTTGTGGACTCCTATGGTCTGCAGATCCATGATTTTGACATTCTTCTTTCATATTTGTAGGAGATGAACCTGTTGGTTGGGGCAGATCAAACCAGGAAATCAGTTGGATGATTATATATCTAGATTGAATGCAATCCTGTCCCAGAAGGCTGCTGGCATTCTACATCTACAAAACCATTTGGCTCATTTTCAGAGACGTCTAAAGGAGCATAATGTTCTAGTGTCTTCTACTGATTGCTAGACCAGTATATGTAATCGTTTTCTATGTTGTAGATTTCATTCTTTTTTCAGTGCTCCAAATACTGTGACTAATATAATTAAAATAATATTAAGATTTTTTTTTTTTTTTTGCACAATGATTGTGGACTATCATTTGATATGATTTTATTATTTGAGTGGGAGTTATTATTTTATATTAGTGTTATTCAGTTTTATTAGAGGTATTTTTTTTAGTTCATTTGCATAAAATTAGCCCAATTTCAAAAAAAAAAAAAAAAAGGATACCACGGCGTTTTAAGAAACGCCACCTACACCTATAAATCTAACGGTTATATTTTTCAAAAAAAATATAATGGCGTTTCAAAAACGTCGCTAAATATCATAGTGACGTCATAGTACTGTTAGATAAGACAAACGCCGCCTATACTAATATAGCGACGTTTTTCAAACGTCGTAAAGTTATAACGACGGCCGCGTCATCGGCGTTTGGTACTAAACGTCACAAAAAGAATTAGCGACGTTTTTAATACTTATAGCGGCGTTTTTTAAACGCCGCTAAAAGTGAATTTTCCTGCAGTGCAATTTGTGCTACTAATTTATATCTCAAATGAACAGAGTATATACACTTATCAGCATGACATCAAAATATTGAAAAGCACAATATAATGGTTTAGGAATTTTGAATTCATCTCTCTCTCTCTCTCTCTCACTCATCCAGTTTCATTAATGTAACACTATTTCAACCTTGAAACAGGGGTACCTCCAATGTAACACTACTTTTTCTACACATAATGTAACCCTATTTCATTAACCACTGTAAGGAAACCTTAAATGATTCAGAGGCCTTGCACAAATCAGATTCAGAAAATGGAATGCTGCAGGGAATAAAAGTTACATCAAAATTATATGTGAAAGGTGAAATCAACACAATCAACTACTTAACCAGATAACAAAGATGCTCAAGTGTAAAACCTTTCTAAATCCATTAGCAACAACATAGAATCTGTAGACAGAAGAGGCAGAGCACTGTAGAGGCAACAACATCTAGTCATAGCTGGACGGATTATCCTCAAAGTAGTGGATGCCAAGTGCTAGAACTCAGAGATAGAGCCTGGAAAACACAAGGATCAACGCAAACTAAGATAAAATAGTTCAGAAGAAGCATGCATGCAAAACTAGCTTACAGGGCATGCAAGATACTTAAAACAATGTGTATCTCTCAATACTTAACACTCTCACAAACCTAAATCTTACATCACTCAACCCACCATCCCTAATAACAAAGAGCAGCCAACCTACATAGACAAACAGTTAGGCAAAAAAACTGTACGGCTACATCACTCAACCCTCCAAGCTTATGACACTCAATCCTATTTAGGATCTCACATCACTCAATTGTGTTCCCTACAGTACAACCAGCCAACCTGCAATAAACTAAACTACAATAAACAATTAGTTATGAACTGGAAGCTCACCTCACTCAACCCACAATCTCACATCACTCACTCAAATGCTAGTAGTGTTATCCGCCGGCTGTGAAGCAGCAGCAGGCTTCTAGGGAGGCCCATTATTTGATCCCTGCCCCTGGCTCTGCACAGGACGAGGATTGTTGGTAGTCTCTCCGCCCCCAAACAAGTATCCTAATGAACTCTGCCCCCCACCAGCGCTGACTCCACGACCCACTTTCTCTGATTTTAGTTCTATTTCTTTATCCAGAAGATCAAGGCACTGGACATTATTCAGATGCAATGGCAACAACAAAGTTTTGTAATATATTGTGGAGAGAGTCAAAATTCCATATAAGAAACTCTAATTCCTCAAAGAAAATGTCAAGAAATACAAGAAAGTAATGAATGCACATGGTGTGGATCCAGGGAAGCCAATTTTTAACCCATAAAACAAATGCAAACATTTGGAATATTCCTAGAGATATGCTTTCAGTTAATAGACTTTATCCACACAAGATATATGAAAACAAGTGTTAGTGATTCAGGTCGGTTTGGTCGTAGCATCTTTACATGATCTTTCTTTCGATCTAACAATTCCTGATTTTGGGTTTTTTGGTCTTCTTGACCATCATCTTTTGCAAGCTGTTGTATACAACTAAACCACAATTTATTGACTATATCAGTTTTTTTCCCTTCTCACTACTAAAAATTCTTGGATATGGGTGCATTTTCACAATAAGAATTCATTACTCTAGTCTCTAGTACATACACTAGCACTTAGAAACAACAATCATGACATGTTGTGAATAGACAAAAATCATTTCGATTGTGCAATTGACAAGGTGATCGAATAAAACACACATTTTGATTAGTTAAAATGTGTTGGAGATCCATCCAACTTGTATTTTTTTAAGAAATAATTCTGCTATCAAATTGCAAGAATAATTATTAAATTTTACTTAGTCACACATTATATGATTAACATGTATGCACAAATTAAAAAAAAATATATATTTAAAACTAAAAAAATAAAAATAAAAAGATCATTCTATAGAAATAGAATCATATGTACCACAACAATCATAATCTGATTGTTAGATGTAAGCTGTGGACCACCCCACTTAATTGAAAAGTTATAATCTGTCAATCAATAGGGAAGAAAAAAATTATCAGATTGAATTCAATTAGGTCATTCAATTAACAAAAAATAAATATCGGCCATATCTCGTTGATCATATATGTTTTATGGGTTCAATGCACTTTATGGCTGGGAATTCTCTCAACAATAGAAAGACAAATTTGAGTCCATTCTGTCCACTACACCAAATTATATAATCTATGTTTCAAAATTGCATATTAAAATTTATGAGTAAAATTCATACACTGATCTCAAATAGATGTGATCCCATTTATCCTTGTATTATGGATGTACATATTCTACTCTCAGAATCATAGTTTAGGAAATTTCTAAACCGCACTTACAGACAGAAGAATTGCGGTTGCAGGGAAAATTCCTTTGAAGACACCTCAATCCTGAAGGCAGAACACTGAAAGCAGAGGAAGAATGCATATTATTGTAATAGTTTCCTTTAGTTGTCGAACAATCATAAAAATCTCTAGTGTTTCTTTAGTTATCAGGCAATCATATCAAATCCAATACACAAGACCATTATAAAGAATGCAGAAGAGAAATAATGTATACTGAAACACAAAAACATAATTATATACAGTAAATTCCATTCAACTGGATATCTAGACTACAGCACTGTCACGTATGTTTGACTGCTCAAGCAGGTGCTGGTAACCAACTCATGTTGTTCAATGCCAAAACAATTTAACGGGAAAGAAACCTTCATTTAGTGTTGTTTCACTGAATGTTCAGAATCGTATGTAATAAAAACAAAAGCATACAGCAGGGAGAGAATCACCTGTTGTTTGAACTTTCCACTGTGAAGTTATTGGCCACTAAATTACTGCATATTACACCCCAGAAAATCTCAATGTCAGTTTCAGTTCCAACACTTGGAAATCTTACCTCAGTGTGCTCAATAATGTGACCATTTTCATCTCGCAGCCTGAAATAGATTTATGAATCCATTCAATCAAATTTACATTTACAATTTACAAAAGAAAAAAAACTATATCTATGGGTTCAAAATGCTAAACCTCAAATGCTGAAAAAAAAAAGAACCCCAATGCTGGTCCTGATTATCAAAGGTGTTGGGAGGGATAAACTAGATACAGACATAACTTTTAACATAATAACACTAAAAGTCCATGCTCGTAGGTTTTACTATACAACAATTGAATCCAAATCATGTTAGCAAATTTTTCTTGTATTCGAAGAATAGGTTAAGGAAGAAGAATGTTTAATTACTTAAATCAAAACAGAATACAAAAAAAAAAAAAATGAAAAAACATTGCAAAGTAACCTCTTAGATAATTGATCTTCTGTACTACTATAATCAGGCAACACCTCATCTGGGGAACAAAAAGGGAATGGGAAAAAAAAATGTTACCTACCTCTCACAGTTCATCACAAAATATAGCACATAACAGAACTTACAGTCAAAACAATTATACCAAGAGATTTGGATTGAGGAACATTACACCAAGGAACTTAAGAGGCTATGTTAGTGAGGAGAGTGACATGCTTTTTTAGAATAAAGGAAAAGAAAAGTACGGATATAGAAAGTGACAAGATAAGCCTGTCAAAAGACCATTTAATCAGTTCTTGTTTTTCTTAATCAGTTCCAGAATATTATTATTTTATAGATAACAGTAAAAATCTATTTTCTGTTCTTTTTCTTTTCTTTTCTTCTCCAGATGGATGGCACATATGAATTCTAAAGAACTATTCTCACACTTTAACTAAACATCAGCTTATAACATGCTCAAATAGGGGACGTTCGCTGCTACAATATTAGCTGTTTATATTCTTACAACTAGGATGATCATATTTATTTTCACCACATTTTGTTTACCATTTGATGTTACACACGTAATACAAATCCAACCATACAACAAATAATAAAAAAAAGGTGCAACTCTAATGATAAGCTTAACAAAAGGAGGTACAACAGATTTCATTAACTAAGCTTTTGCTAAATCAAGTGCAGGAAGAAGTGTGAGCTCACATTTTATTTATCTTGACAATGAAATCTTGAGCACAATACAAGCATGCACATAAGAACACAGTTTATTAATTGCCAAAAATCAAAATATGAAATATGACAAAACAACAATAATTGCTAGTTTTCTAGTTTACCTTCATTAAACACAACAATAATCAAAATATGAAAACAGAATTAAAATCAAAAAGTTAAAAACTTGCTAGAAATCACATAAACACAACAATAATTAAAAAACACTGAAAATATGAAAATAGAATCAAAATCAACTAGTTTACCTTCGTTAGTCTGGGCATTAGTCTGCACACTTCATATCATCCTACAAAACATAAAAAATGTTTGGTATCTTCCAGAACAACAGGATTCAACCAAATGACAAAGCTTAAAAACCTTAACACAATCAAAGATGAACTGCCTTAGCTGTCCTACAAAAGCTCAGTTGGTCTACCACATTTTACATAGTAATTCAATAAAATCTTGTTTACAAGTTTCAAGTGGAGCCCTTTCCAATCTCCATCCATCTGTTCTGCCCCTTTATATGTCATCCACTTGTTTCAAATGAAGATAGACAAGTGAAATAAGAAATTCAATAGGCCTACTATGAACTCTAGAAAAGCAATTGTTATAAATGCTTCTTTTTTTTTATTATTTATATATGATCATGTAGACATTAGATTAACAATACTATAATAGCATATGACACCTGGACACCATATAACTGTTCCAACAATTTATTTCAGCCACTAACATGTGAGAAAATAACACTTACTTTTCTCTTATAAATGAGGAAGTCTCACTTATGAGGAAGTCTCACTTACTTTTCTCTTATAAATGAGGAAGTCTCAACAACCAAATCAACATTGTACTTTAATAATGAAAATGCTGTTCCGTTCAAAAAAAAAAATAATGAAAATGCTGAAAATGAACCACATTTTTCTTCTTCAGGTTTTTTTTTTTTTTTCCCCAAAAACTCCTTCAAGACACCGATTGCAAGCCCAAACATTACAGCCACACTGCATCAACAATGATAATACAATAAAAGTCACTTTTGTTGTGAACTTCCTCTTCTTTCCATTTGTTGCGACCATCATTCTGATTTTGACATCAACAAATGCCTTCTTCGATTTTGGCTCAAAAGTGCTGTTTCTTATCTCTGAGATGTTGAGTTCAGAGTTGAACTGAAATGCTTACTTCATTGATTGAGATTATAACCTGTCAAGTCTCTGCTTACGTCCTTGAAACTATGGTTTATATGCAACAATCACAGACACAAAAGGATTGTGCTTGAATGGACATATTTGAATGATTTTAGAAGCAACGATGGAGAGCTAATCAAACACTCCTGATTCCGAGGGATTCATGATTGATTTGGGCATTCATATTCTCTCAATAAAACAATTTATTACACATTATCAATTCGCCTTAGTCTATTATACATGCAAGCAAGAGAAATTAACAGAAAAACTGCAATGAAGTATGGAATGTAAATGCTGTTTTAAAATTAGTTATGTCTAATGCTATTTGTTTTTGGCTGGTGAATATTCATGAAATTGCAAAAACAGGATGCCAATATAGTAAGCAAAGAGTTAATGTGAAAGCTCCTGAAATGATCATTTAATTTCAATGTATTAATCAGAGACAGTAGTGTATTAATTACATCATTCAGTATTCATTCTCAAAACTTACTTTGATTGAATAGATTGAATCAAGAAACAAGGATTGGATCCCCATATGAAAATTTCACACCACTAAACCTAACAGAGGAAGGCATCCAGCAAGGCACCATTTTCATGATCACGTTATCCATTAACTCCGCGATCAAACTCACATCTTCTTTCGGCAGTTCAAGCTGTTCCACCATCTCCCAAGCTATTGAGAGAGTCGTATCCACATCAAGATTAAACACAAACTCAATTTTCGTCACCCGACCACTACACTTGTCAGCAATGCGCAACATTAATGAAATGGAGTTTCCATCGGCTCTTTCCCCTCTCAATCTGAATTCACTTTTCTTGTTGGATATCTTAAATTCCAGAACAGAAACCAGATCAGGAGTGTCATTGATGCACGTTGTAAAAGCAGGTATTTCAAAGAATGGGTCTTTCAAGAGGTCCATTGTGGATACTGAAAGAAGGCATTTTTCTATGAACTGCTTAACCTGTGTGTCCTTCACTTTGGCAAGCAGTGCTTGAGTTTTGCCATCACTACAACTGTATGGATATTCAGAAGTAACCAATTCGAGCATACACAATCCAAATGAATGTACATCAACAACAGGGCTATATTCTATTTGTTTCTCATGGAGCTCTGGGGGTTGCAACATAATAGTCGGTAACCCTATATACCCAATTTTAACTTGTCCAGTGTTTCCATTGACAAAAATATTTTGACAGGTCAAATCTCCATGAACAATAGGTGGATCACGAGTATGGAGATAGCACAAACCTTGAAGAATCTGTCGAGCCCAGTTTTTTATGGCGATGATGTCGACATTCCTGTGTTTCTGGCGGAACTGCCTCAAACTCCCAGAAGTGAATGACTCAGAAATCATGTTGATGGTTTTGGTTTGATGATCCACCCAATAGCTGCATGACTTGATGATGTTATTGTGCTTCAATGGCTTCAGCAACGTATTCAATCTGTGCATGTGTTCCTCGGATTGAAACGAATCATCAACGGTGACTTTGTTCCAAGTGACCTCCATTCCATCAACTAAATCAAAGCCTATATAGACAGTATTTCGTGGTCCTCTGTCCAATACTTCATTGTACCTCACATAACGACCACAAAAGGATTTTTCTGCAACTTCGTCGTCCTCAAAATCATTGGATTCATTCAATAACAAACCAGAACCAGAAGAACTCATCATGGCAACAGATTATAGTAAGAAAACAAAAAACCCTTTTGATTATTTCAAAAAACCGAACAGATTAAGAGCGGTGGAGATATATGCAGAAGCAGATAACGAAAAGATTAAAGAGAAGAGGGAAATCGATGGGATGAGGAAATTGATAAATGGTAGTAAGGGCGGCTGAAGATAATCAGGTTATAGTATAGTATAGTATATATATAGTACGTAACTACTAGGAAACTCATTACTTGAAGAGCAGAACAGAGTAGACAAAGTTGGGTTGAGAAGTGTTTCTGTGCTACGATCTCTCTGACTAAGAAATTGATTCCTACTAGAAATAAAAGGCATCAAAACCTTTCCTTTCTCCACACGCGAGGTTTTTCATTCTGTTATCGCCTGCCTATGTTTTTCATTCTGTTTGCCTAGGTTTGATCATGATTGCATTGGTCCGGTTTTAGAAGAAATTAGGAACCCAATCTTTGAACGTATATAACTGAATCAGAATTGAATCATAAAAACTGGCTTGGTTTGATTCGATTGAATTCTATGGTTTTAGAAATTTGGGAAACATATTCATAAGTCACATACACAAAATTTAAAATTCATCTAGTCCCAAAACAAAACACTTTTGCCAATTAGTCTTACACATTTTTAATTGTTATTAAAAAAAATCCTTTTATAAATTCTTTTTTGCAGATGTTGCTACATCCCATCACCGTCAAACTTTCGTCAGACGGTCGCCGGAGACTTGTCGGAATGTTCAACATCACTAGGAAGTCGTTGGAATATTGTCAGAAGTTTGCCGGAGTGTTTTAAGTATCATTGGAAGTCGCCAGAATGTCCAGAACATTCGCTGGACGTTAAAAACTTCATCACTCACTGAAATATCCAGAATATTGCCCGGGAAAAAAAATGAAAAAATTAGAGGAAAAAAATAGCAAAATGAGTTAAAAATTGATAAAATAAAATAAAATAAAATAAAATAAAAAACATAACAATAAAAAACAACAACAATGTGAAAAAAAAAAATATGTTATTTTTCAATTTTTGTAGGGTTTAAACAAATAACTTTCAATATTGATCAAACTAAAAAGTATGCTTTGAAACTATAAAATATTACAGTTTCAAAGGAAAAATCTATGAAACATTTATCCTTATTAATCAAATTGAAATACATGTTATGAAACTACAAAAAAATTATAATTCTAAAGAATGTTATCAAACTGCAAAATTTTGCAATTTTAAAGTATGATTCATTTCAACACCAAAAAAATTGAAACTATAAAATTTTACAGTTTTCACCCCTGTAACTAAAACTCAAAAACAACTTGCTTAAACTCGAAAATTTTCTCCATTTAAACAGGAAAAGAGAAGTGTGTAATAGAGAAAAGGTAGAAAAATTGAGAAATCGAAGGAGTGAGATAGATATAGAGAGAGGATTGTACTTGGTAACTATTTTTGGTTTAAATCTAGCCAGATCTAATGTAGATCTACTCAGATTTGATTTAGATCTACATTAGATTTGAGTAAATCTACTTATCTTTTTCGCTGGAAACTCATATCATTCGCCGTCGATGAGGGTGAAGTAAGGAGTCGGTGGTCAGTGATAGCCGGTGAAGTAAGAAAGAGAAAGAGAAGAAGCAAGACGTCAACGTCGGTCACCGATTGTCAGAAATCATGAAGAGAAAAAGAGACGAACGAAGGCAGAGAAGAAGAAAAACGTTACATGACTTTTGGATATAAACAAAAGGTTATGGGATTAAATAGACCACACAACTTTCAAAGAGGACTTGTTAATAATTGCCCTAGAAATTTTATATAACAAAAACTCTATATTTTTTTATAATACTATATAAATTAAAAATAATTAATTTAGTTAACCTGATAAGAGTTTATTAATTTCACCATCAAGATTAATATTCAAATCTTATTAATAACTTCTGTATTTTTATTTTTGTATAAAAAAGTATTAAAAAAATAATCAACAAATTAGAACCAAGTTAGGCCGGATTGAATTAATTTATTGATTCTACCAATTTTTTTGAAACCCCTACTTCTTTTGGATGGTGGCGATGGGGGAGCTTCTATTTCTACACACAATTTTCACTCTATGCACACACTTAACGAAAAATATTCTTATAACAAATTTAACGTTAAACAAAATTACTAAACTATTATAAAATTTATATTTAAAAACAATATCGTATAATTAGTTCAAAACAATAGAATTAGTTCTAAATTATTCATTACTCCAAAATTATTTACTCAATTTGCATCCCAAAATTATTTGAAAATTTTGGCTATGAACCCCCCTTACCTTCCTTTTATTGTCAAAAGGACCAAGAAAACAATTATACTTTCAAAACCCTCTCTATAGCGATCCCGGTTTTTACCCCGACTTTCGTTGTATTCCGGACTTGGATTCTGTGATTGTATACAGTTATCTATGTCTTGTTTCCTTCCTTTAACTCTTTGTATTTGAGTTTTGGATAATGTTGGGCGTGTTTGAAACAGGTTGGTTGTTAGTTGGTCTAGAATGTTGTTGCCCAGATTTTGGCTTCTGCGCTTGAGCAAGGCTTCTTGCGCTTAAGCAAGCCTTGTGTAATCTGCTTCGCCGCTTAAGCGAGGCTTCTTGCGCTCGAGTGAGACTTGTGAAATTGTTTCTTCGCTCGACCGAGACTTCTTGCACTCAAGCGTACATCTATGTTGGTGGCAGACCTGAAGCTTTGCATTCTACGCTCGAGCGACGCTTCTTGCGCTCGAGCGAGGCAACCTTTTTGTGTCTAGTCGCTTGAGTGAGAACTCCTTCGCTCGAGCGAGCCTGGTGTATATCAGTTTCTAGCAACGCCGTTTTGCTTCATTTTTTGATCTCCTTTTCACTCAAAAACCCTAAATCTGCAGCTTCTCTCTCTAGAAGCCACCATCTCTCTTTGATTTCTCCAAATCCATTGGGATTTAGGCCTAAGTTCTTCACCAAAGTTGGTTATCTCCTCGAGGGCTTCGTTGGGTGCGGTGGAGATCGAGTTTCGACACCGTAAATTTTGGGGTTTCATCTCAATCTTTCTTCAAAACTTGAGGTAGAGATTTTCTTTGAATTATATATATATTTTTGCAAGATCTAGATGATTTTCAAAATATCCTTTGTTAAGATTTAAAAAAAAATTATTGTTGATTCAAGAAGATGAGTAATTTTTGAAAATAGGTTTATCTTCTAGTTCCTTTTAAAATAGAAAGTTAGAGTTTTGACTATATTAATTGAAGAAAGACAATTTTGTTGAGATTCCTTCAAATATTTTGGGGATGAATAGTTTTGGTGAGAAAACCTAAAATTTTGGGGGTTTTTGGAAAGATGTTGAAAATCTTTGGAAGATGTTGTTATATTTGTTTTGTGTGCCAAAATAAATGATGTTAGAAAAATTGTTTATTTATTTACATATAAATGATGTTTTCATGGACTATAGGAATTGTTGAGACTGCTTGAAATGTGGGAGTTATGTTATCCCTTGGATGAATTGAAATAAATGTATTTATTCATCTTGTGAAATTGTATTGAAAGAAGAAATGGAAATTTTGATCACAACGGAAATATTGTGTGGAAGAATTGAAAATGGATAAAATGTTGCATTGCATCAATTGATACATTGGCATATCAATTCATTGATAATGAAGAGCTTTGAAATTTGATTTGAAAACTTTGCATAGAGTAAAGAATGTTGAGAAACAAGTTTTCATGAATTGGTTTGGGGTAAATACGGTGGTAAGCCTTGAAAGTTAGTGTAGAGGATAGGTGTCGAGCCTTCCAGTTAATACTGGTAAAAATGACAGATTATGGGTGTCAAGCCTTGCAGTTGATACAAGTAAAAATGACGAATTGGTAGTACTTATATAGTCTACTTGCAGACACAGACCTAGGGATTACCAGAGTTGTATTTACTGCCCCTTGAGTTAAATTGTTAAGCTTTCAACAAATAGGAAAATTGCATGGCATCATTGAGCGTGATGGTTTTCAAAGGATGAAGATGTGAATTATTTGTAAAAAGGCATGGCGTGGCATATGCATTCATCTCTTGAGATTTGTATAAAATGTATATACTTTGTAAAGGATTTCCTACTGGGCTATATGCTCATCCTACGGGATTTTTGTGTAGGAAAAGACATGGTGAATCCGCCTAACTGAGGGCGTGGAAATGTGTATGTTGAGAGCACAAGGTTCTCATTTGTTGTGATTCTATTTGCAAGCCAAGGGCTTTGTATGTGTGGGTTTGAATAACCGTTTTTGTGTAACCGGGCTTAAGCCTTGAAAACTTGTAAACCCTTGGGGGTATTTATTTGCTTCTTTACTTGTTATCGGATTAATGTATTATTGCATGAGAAACTATTTACATTATGAAATGCAAGTGTGGGATTGTATGATTGGTTTTTCTTAAAAAAGAGCCATGATTATTGTATTGTCATTTGGGTATGAAAATTGGGTCGTTACACCCTCATAATTATAAAGTTTTGTATAAAGGACAAAATTTATTATTTAAATATTTTATCAGACTATTATACCCTCAACTAAATCTCCCCACCATCTCCGTCTACATCACTTCCTCTCTCTTCCTTTACCTCCACCTCTTTTTTCTCCTCCGCCGTAGCCACCGCCCCTTCCCCCTCGGCCCTCCACAGCCTCTCCATGTTCCTCATCTCCCTCACCATCTTCGTCGAAATTCTCTTCTCTACCGTCGTCGAGATCCGCGACACCCACTGGTTCTAGCTGAGATCCAAAACCCCTTTCCAATAGCTTCAATCGTCGTCGGCTTCTCGAGGATGATGACGATCTCACCTAGTTGTTTGCTTCTGTCAAACCTAGTTGAACCTAGTTGTTTGCTTCTGTCGGCTTCATGTGCTTTATTTACATTTTATGTAACCATTATTCACATACAAGTCTGTATCATTATGTGCTTCATATGCGTTTTTCATTGTTTTTGTTGTAATTTTCTCTGTGTTTGTGTGTGTTTTGTGTGTGTGTGTGTGTGTGTGAAATCAAATAATGGAAGAGAGAGAGAGAGAGAGAGAGAGAGAGAGAGATTAATTGTTGTTTTTAATTGGTTTTTTATTTTTATTTTTTATTTGTTAATAGATGTAAGAGTAAAATTTGATTCTAGTTCGTTCATTTAGTATAAATTTTATTTTTTGTAACAGTAAAATTTTACTTTGGTTAAAAACATGTTGATTTGCTTAACGATATAAAATTTTACTTTGAATCATAGTAAATTTTACTCTGATTTAGAGTCAAATTGTAATTTTAGAATAAAATTTTACTCTGAATCATAGTAAATTTTACTCTGATTCAAAGTAAAATTTTACTCTGAAATACATTGTGAGGATGACTTAATAGGAAAGCTGATAGATATGAGGGTAGTATAGTAAAAGAAACAAGTTTTAAAATATTAGGGGGTTTTGAAAGTACCTATATAATTCTTGTCCTTTCGAAAGACAAATTAGACAGTGAGGGGTCTATAACCAAATCTCCCAAATTATTTTGATAATTCGTTGTCCAAACCTTATGTGAAGATAAACTCAGGTGTAAATTTTTTAATAGAAGA